AGCAGTAGGCAAGCACCTCCTGCAACGCTACCACCACCTCGTGCCCGACACGACCCGCATCCTCGCGGACAAAAAGAGCAGGACCTACGACACCGCCGCCAACTTCGTCAAAGCCTTCCCCCAAGCCTCCGACATCGAGATAGTACGCATAACCGAGAACACAAACGGCAGCATGGAGTCCCTCATCCCCCACAAATCCTGCAAGAACTTCTCCAAGAAACCCGGGTCTAAGCAGCAAAAGAAAGTCGTCGACCTCTACGGCGCGTCCGTCGCCCACCGCCTCTCCCCTTACACACCCTTCAAACTTACGCCTAGCGACGTCGTCGGCTTCCAGATGCTGTGCGGCTACGAATCCGCCATCAAGGGCGAGCGCAGCCCCATCTGCGCGCTGTTTACAGACTCGGAGTGGATGGCGTATGAGTACGCGTGGGATCTGAAATACGCGTACATGGTCGGTCCGCTGAACCCGCTGAGTCCTTACCTCGGTTTCCCGTGGTTACAAGCCCAGTCTGAGCTCTTTGCGCATATCGAGAAGCACGACACGCCGGGTGACGGCTGGCCAGATAAACAGCGTTTCTTCCTCGGTTTCACACACAGAGAAGTCCCACCTTTTATCGCCACGGCGCTCGGTCTTTTCAACTCCTCTTCCGATGCCGCGGAACAGTTCCCTACTGACCACATCAACTGGACGCGCGCGTGGAAGATGAGCGACCTCATCCCTTTCTTGGGGCATGTTGGTATGGAGAAGATGATTTGTGAGAGGGGTGGTGTGCATGGTGATGAGCCGGGCACGTATGTTAGGTTCATTGCGAATTCGGCGCCGAGACCCATTCCGGATTGCCAGGATGGGCCCGGTGCGAGCTGCGAGTTTAAGTCGTTTAAGAAGCTTATTGGGAAGGGGGCGAAGGCGCATAAGGACTTTCACAAGGTTTGTGATGTGAAGGATTGTCAGGATGCTAGTTGTATGGAAGGGGAGGAGTAGATCAGTGGTGAGGTGGAGTGATTTGTAGTTGTATATATACTTAGCGAATGCATTACACAACAGAACGCACCACCTCTCCAACACCAAGATTGAAGCCTCTCGCAGAACACTCTTGCATGTAGCGATGGTTAAGCAAGTTTTTGTGTGCAGACATCATCTCACGTATCCTCTAGCTGATCAGTGGCACATGCCCGACGCACTACATGACAAATTCACACAGAACTGAAACCATGCAAGTTCTTGTCCAAAGTTACAGCTACGCTATGCTACTTATACATATACACCAACAAATGCAAAAATGCCATGATGCCGCTCGAAAATCGATATAACCTTCCCCATATGCAAGGAGACGACACATGTAGCTTAAACATGGCCAAGACCCATCCTCCGCTCTCATGCCCTTGCCCGAAATGCTTTCCTTCCTATGTGTGTTTGTGTGTCTTCACCGAAAACGCTTCCCTTCATGTGTGTATCTGTACAATAGCGACATGTTTGTTCCTGAAATGTAATGTACAGCTCGAGTGCCATGTTCCGTAAACGATCGTAGTCGGTCGTATAGCTGCAATGTACGTAGAGGAAGAGGCTCGAAGCGATCTTTTGAGGGCGTTCGCGCTCGTGGTGACTCGTCAATCGTAAACGTGATTGTGATCGTACTCGCTGTCGTGAGAGGGCGTCTCGGGTCAACAATCGCTGTTGAGCTTGTGCTTCGGCCAGTCATAACCGGTTTGATCCCATAACTGCTTTGCGTTAGTTGTGTGCTTGTATGATAAGCAAGGCAGGATTATGTACTGTATAGTTAGGGTTTTGGTAAGCTTTCGGATGCTTCTTGATGTATTCTGTAGTCTCGAAGCCCGGGGGATCGCACGTAACCATCTCCTCGCCTTTCTTCTGATACCACCGCACGTAGTCGAATCGCATGGTGGCAGGAAAGACCAGGTTCTTCCAGTCGATCCAGGTCCAGGAGTTACTGATGCCAAGGTTGAGAATGAGTGACAGGGGTTCTTCTGCGATTTGTCGAGCTTGGATGTTGCCGTTGGGTCCTACAGAACGGCCGTCCATGATGAACATGGTCTGGTCACCAACCTTCCAGGAGATGTATGCGTCCTTGCCTTCTCCGGGAGCATATTCGAAAGAGTATCGCTGATACTGCTTGTTGTCGAACCAGTCCCTGTTTAGTATTGTGCTGGCAGAGATGGCCTCTTGGAAGGCACCGCCGGCGTAGGTGTTGAGCCCACTGTAACGAAGGTCTGGGAACGCCGTGAAGTTGTAATTCGGATGGTACCAGATGTCGAAGGGGGCAACCTGGAAGCTCTGTGTTGCTATTGGCAGACCTGCTGGACCTGGGTATCCTGATGTGGCACCCACCTCGATGACGTCAATTTCTGGTGCTCCCCTTCCTTTACCTGGCGATGGGTGGTCTTCACCCGGGCAGGTGCATGAGTTGAGTCGTTGTCCAGGTAGGTGAGATAAGCCGTCAGGACTAGACTGATTAGGCGTGATACCAGCATCGCAAGCTTGGTAGGTGTAGGGCCACAGCCCGTCGGTTGTACTGAGATAGCCTGGGCGACCGAGATTGCCCATTGTCCAGGCGCCAGGCCAGAGTCCCTGTACACCGGCTGGTCCTGGTAGCGACACTGAAACTTCGAAGATACCGCCCTTGAAGCACAGCTGGTTCCAACTGTTCAGCATACCGGATCGGAACTTGAGACCATGGTTGAAGAATTCTTCCAGGCGCAGCTGAAGCGTGCCATCTTTGGTAGTGACAGCATCTGGATCATACCATTCAACGTCCTGAGTCGCGCCATACCAGACGTTGGGTGCAAAGAAGTAAGGGTCGTCTCCTTCATAGAACGTGCGGCCATTGTCATTAAACTCATCGCTGAAGACGAGCACATACTCATCGCCAAACTCTCCGGCCCTTGTCTTGACAGAGTCAGGTGTGTCGGGGTCGATCAAGCCTGTCCGTATGTTCTCCAGGAGTGGATACCTTTTGTTGTTGACTATAGCCCAGATTTGAGGCCTCCAGGGATTGGGAAACATGCTCAGTGGCATACCGTAGGCTGAGTTATAGTCGATGACGCCTACCGCAGAGAGTACTGGAAGGCCGATGAAAATGAATAAGAGTCCTGATATCATGAAGGCTAGGCCAATAGTGGAAACGATGCTGTCTCTTGTAAAGTGATCGCGTATCCTCGGTTTGAACTTGATGTCATCGTCGTCGCGAGGCATGTGCATTTCATCGTCCGCTTCCTCTAAGTCGCAAACCAGTGGCCAGGACAGTATTCCTTTCTCCTCGTACGGCGCCGTTAACCTGTCGTCGATGAAAGACACATTCTTCTTGTCATCGTACAGCTCAATGACGCTATCGTTGAGGCCCGTCACAGACGCATTGGGGGTAAGGAACGGGTTGATTGGTGGAATGCCAGGCGGCGGAGTGGTTGTGCGCGAGCGGGCGGCCAGTCTGGCATAAGACTGTCGTTCTGATAAAGAGGTCCTCCGACTACGGCTATGGCTACTGGCGGAATCTGAGAAGGGGTTGAAGTAGCGAGTATAGTCGGTTCCTAAGTCTTGTAATGTGAGTGGGGTGCCTGGAGAGCGGGCTCCATGACCTGTCAGGTCTGTTGTACTCCGCGCTTTTGGTGTCCTCAAGTGAGGCCGGGGCGGAATGCGCAAATGAAGACGGCCTGTACTGGTGCGCGGCCGATGCTTCGTTGACTGGGTATCATCGCTTGACTGCGGCTCGTGCCCGTCTGAGCTTCCATCGCTCGCTGATCTGGAGTTTGCGAGCGGCGAAGGGACGATGGGCGCAAAGGGCAACGGCGAGGATTCGCGCTCTGCCGTTGGCGGGATGCCGAAGTCGAAGCCATGGTCAGAAGCTGGGCTCTGACTGCCGCTCGGCTGGCCAATCAGCGGCTCTTCGGCTGCCCCTGCTGGCTCGGATGCTCCTTCTGTGCTGGTGTCGCGGGGAGACGCAGCTTCCCTCTCGACAGTTGAACTCGACGACGACGATCGCCTGAGCTGCTCGTCTCGCTTTTGAGGTGATTCCGAGTACTCGGACGACGTGGACGAGGCGACTCTTCGTATGGACGCCATGGCGATTAGCGACCGATTGGCGTTCGCGCCGGCCTTTTGCCCCACAGCGCGCGCTATGTCGTGCAGCTCACGCCAATTGTGATGCTGCGTGTAGTAGCTTTGTCGACAGAATGCTCGGATATATCTTGAGTATGAAAAGAGACAGTGGGAAGTAGCGGGAGACGAGGGTCTGCGAACGTGTTGTGCCTGACGTCGCGAGGCAAGGTGCTGGTCGGAGAGCTTTGACGCGGTGGGACGTGGGAGGGTCGGGGTGGATATGGCACCTGTATGTGAGCAACACAGAAAGCGGGGAGGCTCGCAGAAGACAAGAGCTGCGTATGCGAGTGAATAAACTTCCAAAAGGCGCGTAGTAGCGACAGTGAGTAGCGATGTTGGCCTGGCAAGCGCGGTGATTGTTTGAGCGGGAGAACTGGTCTGATAGTAGCATTGATGGTGAAGGCGAGTTGCCCACGACGCGGCCAATCACAGCTTCCCAATTAGGGTTCACCAAACAACAGGAGCGGTTCCGAAGACGGGCAGGAGCGGTTGCCTGCACCTGCGCCTGTGCTGCGTCGCGCTTCGGACTCTCCTCATGCTTTCACCACAGCCGAACGGTTACTGGCACAACACGACTCGACAGGTACCCTCACCACTGTGGCCGGAGTCGTCTCCCATCTTCATGATGTATGTGATGTTGTCGCCTCGCAGGCCGCCCCTTCTTCCGATTGCTCGAACCGTGGAAAGCACGATGGGCTCAACGACGCACGCGCTTACCTCATGATGGCCCTGATCCACTGTCTCCCATGCAGACAGCATCGGCGAGGCCAATGGATGTTACACAACAACAGCGTGCTGGAACATGTAGCACGAGGATACCGTTACGTGTCAATTCCCATGAGTCGCGAGTATGTCAAGTCCATATCTAGCACGACACTTCCCTAACCTCTCACAAAGGCGCTCTTTCTATCGTGAACAATATCGGCACGTCCGTTCCAACCCTCACATCGTTGGCTTTGACGTGATTGCTCGTACTGAGCTGACCGCCGTTCATCTGCGTAGGCCACTCCTTGACATCCCACTCCAGACCTTCGGTAGAGATGATCGCCGGTCCGTATATAGGAAGAAACCCTACGTTCTCGGTAAAGACACCATCTTCCTGTAGCCCTCTCAGCAGAGTCTCCCTACTCCGAAGTATGAAGCTCAGGCTGCACTCGGAGAACAGCCATAGGCGAAGGTCGGCATGTCGATTCTCTTCTCTGTATATCTCGTTCAGGAGTCCAAGGCCCTGATCAACCCTCCCACCGAGGGTACCAAGGACTATCACATCCCGAACCGTTGAGGAAGTAAGACGCGACGAGATTTTCTTCATGCATTTCCCAAAGTCTGTGCTGTATTGGTCACCATCGCGTAGCACAGGAACACCTCGTGCTTCGTAGTAGTCACGCACACCATCGCGTAACGAGTCCAAGTCTCCATGAATCATGTCGGGTAGCTATGCCTGTCAGCGACCTGTGTTGACGCTATATATCACATACTTACTCACGTATTGTTCGCGTTGCGCTATCAAGTCACCTTTCAGCATGTCGTAAAGTCTATTCGCCCCACCATCGGCACATATGCGGTACCCAGTGTGCTTCCAAAGGCGTGAAAAGGCAGTGAAGTGGGCTATTGGCTGATTCAAAATGAGAAGATCGGGAGGATTTGGTGTCTTCTCCGGATGGGCGCTTTCCGCAAGAAACTTCGCAGGGTACAGTTCGCTGTCTTCACGTTGCGCCATATTTCTAACTTTCTCTAGGGTATCCAAAAAATGAGTGTGGTGATATAGATAATGATGCAGTCAATGCGACTGTCGAAAACGGTTCAGATCGAGAATTCCGGATGACGTGCGCGATGAAGCGGCAAGTGCGATGCAGATATGGCGAACGCACTAAGCCATAGAAGGACTAGCTCACACCTCCCGCGTCTCTTTCCCCACGGATCACTGATACGCAGATATGCGTGCCTACCACGGTTTCAACCTTTATTTATAACACTTCGCATGTACAGTTCCTTCCTCATGATGTATGAGGTTCCCCTCCCGGCTCCTCGATGCTTGCTCTCGGGTTTATTCTCATGCAGGGCGGAGTGGGAAGGTTGAAGGTTTTCGTTGCCAAGTTGATCTACGTATCCTGGGATGCCAAAGGAGTAAGTCTGTATGCAGGTTTTGTGATGCCAAGTGGCGGCCTGATGAGGCCAGCGCTCGTTTGATATACCTAGGTATACATCACCCTGGTCAGACCTCGGGAATCCCGCAAGCTTTCTGGTCGCACGTATACCCACCTATCGTACGTGCTTTAGTCTCACATCGCCAACCCGTCTTTCGCGCTTGCACTCGCAAATTACCTGACGCTACGACCTTCACCGCCACCATGCCACCATCGGTCCAGAAGTTTCTAGACAGTCTTAAGGGACATCCCGTGACCGTGCCCTTCGTCGACGTTCCGAATGACATGGTTTATTGGGGCTTCACTATCTACCGGACATACTACGGCCCTGGATCGGATCAGCGGTGGAGCGAATTGCTCCAGCGAATGACTACTGAAACTAAGCTCGACCTCGAGAGCCAAGACGGGGCTGAAGACGACACGACTAGCACTGCAAAGGCTTGGTCTCTATTCAAATTCGACGCTCGATCAGACTCTACAGTGTTAGATGGCTTGACGCTGGAGCAGGTTCGACAGCTGTACGTGGAGGGAGTTGGAGGCCGGCCGATGAACGCAGACGACAACCCGTTTCGAGTCTTCTTCTTGGCTGACGCTGAGGCGCTAGTGGGCTCCGATTTTGATAGTGCTCTGATCAAGGTCGTGGCAGCAGAGTACGATGCCGCTGCTTGTGTACCTGTGAACTGGAAATTTGGTCCGCAGCGTTATTTTGGATGGATGAGGATGCCAGTGCGGTGTGTACTGGCTCTATGGTTCACGCTAGAGCATAAGTTCCTTCAAGAAATTGTCGATTCCACTGCCGGTGGTCCGGGCGCATTATGGGACAGCCCGCTGTGATGAGGCGGAAGAATACAGGGCTACACATTCATAGGGAGGAATCAGTTCGGAAACAATTCAAAATCGACTGTATGCTAGTATTTCACGATGTTATATTCTGCAATACAATGACTATGTCAAGATTCTGTCTTGGTGTTGGCATTCCTACTTGGTACGTTGAGAAGGACAAACGTGACGATATTCACATTCCCGCAGCAGTCATGCGACCGCCTAGAGCATCAGCTGTTGACACACGAATAAGTCAGCTTTCGTGCAGGAAGATCGACAACAACTCGCCATCAAGACAGTAAGGCTGACTCCACTTACATTGGTTTTCACATGATGGATCTCTTCGGACAGCAACACAAAATACGACCGATTCCCTTTGTTTCCAATACATTCCATGACGCGAGCGTACGTATGCTGAAAATAGGGGTCCGTGGAAGAGCCAGCGTCTCCTGGTAGGGGCGGTGCACCTAGTGGGACGGGTGCTGTCGATTGATACGTGATAGCGACTACGGCCCACGAAGATTTATGGATGGTTTGATGAGGCTTCCAAATAGAAGACCTTAGCATGACGCACGCGTTTCAAGCTTCGTCGTTTCAATATAACTACACTCGAGGTCGATGGCCAAAGCGAAGCAGGTCTCAAACACAAGCTCTGCTTACGCACAACGGCCCCACGTTAGTAAACCTCGGCCTATGTTTCGGACCTGCGTTAGATTGTCGTTCGTGATGGTTGTTACTATCAACACATCTATATCCGTAACTATACTTCATGGTCGTATTCTGGCCTTGATAGATTGTCGGATGTCGATCGTTCCGTATCTATCTATCTTTACGCATAGCAACGCTGACGATGCCTTGCTAAAGATGGAGCGAGGGAGAGGCACTGGCCACCAAAGCCGCGGATGCGAAGGGGTCGCTGTGCGATTCTGGGAATGCTTTGTTTCAAGGAAGGGTCTATACCTAAGTACAAGTCAGTCGGACATGCGCTTGAGCTCGTGACCTCGAGCACGCACCACGCAAATTGACTTCATGAGCCTTTACGAGCTCTCACGACGATGTAAATTTCAATCAGATACGATCGCGAGTCTAGCAATTGAGAGTGTGTATGGATAAGTTGTTTCTCGATGGCTCTTGCCTGCCTGGCGAGGGAGGCTTTCAAGATTAAGGCCATAGATGGCGGCGGACCGTGCGCCGCTCGGAAATGACGTCTGGCGCAATGCCCACCAACCTCTCGGCCACCGCCATCATCTGTGGGATGAAGCACCCACGTCCCGTATAACATATACATCGTCGCCGATATCGCACTTCCACCCAAGAGCGTAGCTTGCGGAAGCTTTCGACACTAAGCATCGTCAGCCCGCCATGTCCCCGCTCTTCCACCTGAGCAGCTGCGGAACAGGGGTCCCACTGTCTAACTTCACCACCAGACGCCACTCCCCAGAGTCCGTCCACATCATCACCATGAATCTACAACAATAGCCTTGTGCCAGGGACTACAGCGCCTCATCACCGGTGACCCGGACCCGGTCTGGAACCACCCTCTGGGTGCAGACCACATCAAGACCCCGTGGTATCTGGATGATCATGTCATCAACGAAATCCTTGATACTCTACCGAAAGCATTCAATGGTATACAGAAACTTCTTCTGCTGACACCTAGAGCTCGTCTCTGCAAACCAAATCTACTTGGAACCTTAAGACGTCAAGTCGCACTTGCATGTCGCTCGAACTGAGGTACGCAACCAGCCAAGCAATGGCACTGGTGAGGCTTCAGCCACACCACGATTCGTGTGCGACCTGTCATCATGGACATACCGAATTCCACCAGCGCGGGTCCTGTCAGCGCGCAGGACACCCCTTGTCATCATCCACGCGCTCAGGCGCATTCTACCATGAACGTGCATTCAGCATACGGGCATGGTGGCGTACCATGCTAACTATCCTCAGCAGCGGCATTTCGTCAGCTCATACACGATGCCTTGACTTGGCTTCCAGCCCTGCGAAGGCGCCTCATCGGTGCTAGAACAATACCTTGCTATGTAGGTCCCTACACGGAAGACATGTATCTCGGCCCTAAACTTAGCATCATGCAAGCTTGATGCCGTATATGATCAGCCGTTGGACGGAACTATCGGTTCTGGTCAAGCTCAAGTCTGCTCGGAATAAACGAGTATATCACGGCTCAATCCCTAACACTTCGACCAAGCACTCGCTTTTGTCCAGAGAGGCTCGACATTATCTGATGCAACGGTCATTGCCTGACTGCAGTCGACTCTCAAGACACGGTGGTTCTACAGCCAGCTTGGAACAACACGCATTGATTCGTATCACTTGTTAAGCCAAACATACGATCGCAATGGATGAGACGACCATTCATACTCCACGAGACCTGTCGGATCACTTTACTACGCAAGCAGTTCAGCACAACCCATATGCTAGAATGCCATCGAAAAGAGCAATCGCGTGCGTGACATGCGCTAAGGCAAAGTCGAAGTGTAACAAAGCTGTATGTACCAAGGCACATCTTGTATAGTCCAAGTTCCTGCGCTGACACTACATAGCTACCTTCATGCTCTCGGTGCATCACCAAGGGTATCGCATGCGAACCAAGATCCACTCGCCGTACTTCAGATAGCAACCACCGATCAAGCGTCAAGAAACCATCTAGACCACCGAAAAGGCAATTCTCGGCCAGTGTGATATCACGCCTCGATTCATATATTCCCTCGGCGAGCTTGCATTCTCAAGAATTTCGAGGCTCATACGCCGCAGCATACATCGATACCGAAACCACCGCGAAAGCCAGCCGTCAAAACCCAGGGCTTTCTGGCTATCCAATGCTCACTCCGCTTTCACCAAGAGATTCGCAAACCCTCAACGGCAGTTACGCTTATATAGATACTTCTGAACAGGATCCGGATTTCTTCACTCAGTCTGTGAGTGCAAACAGCTATCTTAACCTGGGCACTATGTCACCGCAAACACCAAGCCCGATACATCCTTATCAGCCCGTATCCGTGGTGCACGAGGCTGATCTCTGCTTGTATCCACGATTATGGTCCAATGAAGTATCGATGCCTATCGAATGTGGGTTTGACTTCAATGTCAATGATGTTCTACCACAAACTTGGGCTGCGCCACACGTCACAACCGAAGTTTCAATCGCGCAGACACCCTGGGGTTTGTCTGATTTCTTAGACGCATCCCAACAAACCCTAGTTGAGCCAGTATCACACGCTGCCGGAATCGCTTCCCCATTCCAGTACCAGTTCAGAGATACATCGAGTCCATATCATCCTGACTGGACCTTCTACGAACATGTTGTCCCCGACCTGAACGTTGCCACTTCGGCAACGTCCATTCATGACTTCAATTTTGCAACAAGTCGTCCGCCAATCTGTGAAGCTTCTTTGATATCGTAGCGGTACTGGCGGTTCTCGGCTGAGCCCGCTTGGCG